ATACCCGGGGAAGCGGTCACTGGGGCAGCCGCAGACATTCTCTCTGGGCCATCCACCCGCCCCCCCCAAACGGCTCCTCGCCCCCCCCCCCCCCCACCCAACCCGAGAATTCCCACGACCCGCCACTATGACGGCCCCCCTCGACGGCCACTGCGCGACGGACCCCTGCTGGGACTAGCTCAGCTTCGCGGACAGCGCTTCCCTCACGGACGGCAGGGCAGACGACCAGACAGCCGACCCTTCAACCCCCCGCCCACCTTCCGCCACAGCCCCCCAAAACGGCCCCCCGCGACGGTCCGTCACGACGCCCCCATCTGGGCGACGATCCTCGCGATGGCGGCCCCGCGACGGACCCCCGAGACGACGACCCTCGCGACGACCCCCCGCGACGGCGACTGCCAAGGCGGGCGCGAGGACGGCCGCGGCCGCCGCGACTGCCGCCACGACAACACCCGCGACGCCCCCCGCGACGGCTTCGCCGACAGCCCCAGCGAGGAGGAGGAGGAGGAGGAGGAGGAGGAGGAGGAGGATGCAGACGAGGACGCGGAGGAGGACAAGGGCGACCTTGGACGATTCGGACGAATCGGACCTATTCTGTGCCGCCTGGCGGCAGAGACGGCGGCAGCTCTACAGGTGGTGAGCTGCCACTTTTTTGAACGCCGGCCAGAGGCTCGAGGACTTCGAGCTCCGGCTCAGGTGGTGAGCCGCCACTTTCCTACACAAGTGGCCGGAAGCTTGGGATCTGACTGACGCCCATGCTTCCCACCCGCCACGTTTCTCCTGATTCCTTTCCTCCCTCTCGCCCCACTAACCTGCACTTGCGCTGGCCGCCTGCCAAATGCTGCCACTTCCTCTCGAACGGCTTCCCGCTCCCATCCTCCTCTGTCCAAAAGGGTTAGTGCTACCCGGGAATGAACAAGCGAAGAGGACGGCGCGGGCACCAACCTTGGCTTTTCGGGGGCCAGCGGCTCCCGTCGTGCAGCGCGGCTTGGGAAGTCGCGGAGGTTTAGGGTGAACCGCCACACCCCGTGCACCCTGGCCCCTGACGGGTCCCGGCCGCGCACAGCCGCTGGCAGCCCGGGGCCGTGTCAGCGCGCCGACGGGCTTGAGGGTCACGAGTGTCTCGCGGCGCCGCGACGGGCCTGAGGGTCACCAGTGGACGTGGGTCCACATGGCTTCTCACCTCAGGCACTTTGACGCAAGGCTTGAAAACGTTCTCCACCTCGACTTCCCTCCCTTCGCCATCCACCCTTCGTTCGTCCGCCCCTCCCCCCCCCCTGCATCGCCAGCTGGGTCGGCCAAACTCCAGGACGAGTAGAGGACGAAGAAGGCTCGTCTCGCAACAGACAGCGCAGTCCGTTCGTCTCACAAATACGCCTCGCCGAGAATGGACGGGAGGTCTTGGTATTGGAGGATGACAGCTGTGGAGGATGGACCAGGTTTCGAGGAGGAGGAGGTTGGCCCCCTCCAATGCGGAATAGACCCGTGGCCCGTCCTCGCCTGTCGAGCGCAGACGGCGCCCAGGGGGCGGTGCCACTTCCTTTTTTATCTTGTTCTTCTTCCTCTTGGGGACTTTTGGACCGTCTTTTTGCAGGCGGAAGGAGGAGGAGGACCTTTCGCTTGCCCTTTCGTTTGATTCCATCCCCGAGGCCGACCAGCCCTGGGGTGGGCCAGATGGTCACGTGCGTGGGATGTTCAGACCATCAGCTTGTCAGCTTGTCAGGAGAGAGAGAGAGAGAGAGAAGATGAGGAGGGGGAGGGGGAAGGAGCTGGGAGAACTTGGAATGCCAAGAGGAGGAACAGGATGTCCAGGTGGAGCAGGAGGATAGCCCTACGGTGGAAGGTGTAAAAGAAGGGCAAGGAGGGGGGAGGCATGATTGAGGAGGGGGAGAGGGAGGGCGATGTGTGATGACGATGATGATGATGCTGATGCTGATGACGATGATGATGATGATGATGTTGTTGTTGTTATTGTTGTTGTTGATGTTGATGTTGTTGTTGATGATGATGATGATGATGATACTGCTGCTGTTGCTGACGACGATGATGATGCTGATGATGATGATACTGATGATGATGATGATGATGATGATGATGATGATGATGATGATGACGACGATGATGATGATGATGATGGCGATGATGATGATGATGATGATGATGATGATGATGATGATGATGCTGATGCTGATGCTGCTGCTGCTGATGATGATGATGATGATAATGATGAATATGATGATGATGACGATGATGATGCTGATGATGACGATTATGACGATGATACTGGTTATGCTGATCATGCTGCTGATGATGATAATAATGATGTTGCTGATGATGTCGATGATGATGATGATGATTACGATGACGGTGGTGATGATGTTGTTGCTGATGATGATGACGGCGACCATGCTGATGATGGTGATGACGACAATAGTGACTGTGATGATGACGATTACGATGCTGATGCTGATGCTGATGCTGATGCTGATGCTGATGGTGATGCTGCTGCTGCTGCTGATGATATTGATGTCGATGGTGACGGTGGTGGTGATATTGTTGTTGTCGATGATGACGACGATGCTGATGCTGCTGCTGCTGATGATGATGCTGATGCTGATGATGATGCAGTTGTTGATGATGATGATGATGTTGATGATGATGTCGATAATGATGATGCTGATGCTGATGATGATGCTGATGATGATGCTGCTGATGATGCTTACGCTGCCGATGATGCTGATGCTGGTGATGGTGGTGGTGGTGGTGGTGGTGATGATGCTGATGATGAGGATAATGATGATGCTGATGATGATTATGATTATTATGATGATGATGATGACGATGATGATGATGATGATGATGATGATGATGATGATGATGATGATGATGATGATGATGATGATGATGATGATGATGATGATGATGAGCAGGAGTAGGAGAAAGTTGATGGGGGAGGAGGAGGAGGAGGAGCAGGAGGAGGAGGAAGAGGAGGAGGAGAAGGAGGTGGAGGAGGAGGAGGACGATGACGAGGAAGAAAACGAGTACGAGGACGAAGCTGCAGGCGATGACGATGACGTTTAAGGATCGAGTGGCAATGGAGCGAGAGGACGGGAAGGATGGCGAGGGCGAGGACGAGTCAGAGGGGGAGGGGACGATAATGAGGAGTAACATTGAACGGACAAGAAGCAGAAGGAGCATGGGGATGAAGGATGAGGTTCCTGGGGAGAAGAGTGCTGCTTTCGTCAATCTTCCACATGATGCCCGATGGGTCGGTCACACCACAGCAAGACGGGTCTTTCTGGGCATGTCCCATCTGTGGGCTGACTTGTAGAAGTGGCCCTCGTCCCCGAGGATGAATGCTGCGGTGAAGGAGGATGCGGAGCAGGAGTAGGATGAATGAGGGAGGAGGAGGAGGAGGAGGAGGAGGAGGAGGAGGAGGAGGAGGAGGAGGAGGAGGAGGAGGAGGAGGAGGAGGAGGAGGAGGAGGAGGAGGAGGAGGAGGAGGAGGAGGAGGAGGAGAGGAGGAGGAGGAGGAGGAGGAGGAGGAGGAGGAGGAGGAGGAGGAGGAGGAGGAGGATCAGGAGGAGGAGGAGGAGGAGGCGAGGAGGGAGGAGGAGGAGGCGGAGGAGGGAGGAGGAGGAAGAGGTAGAGGAGGAAGAGGCAGAGGAGGAGCACGATGTACGGGGTCGAGGAGCCAGATATGGAAGAGGAGAAGGACAAGGAGGAGGAGGAGGAGGGGGGACGAGGACGATGACGAGGGGGGACGAGGGGAGGAGCGCCGCGGCCGTGGGTCGAGGCCCGTCGCCGCGTGTAGGTGCACCGCACTCCTGCGAGCCTTTCGAAGCCGAGACCGACAAAGAGCCCGGTGGCCTCGTTCCGCCTCTCCCCTCTCCCCTCTCCTCCTCCTCCTCCTCCTCCTCCTCCTGATCCTCGTCGTCCTCCTCCTCCTCCTCCTCCTCCTCCTCCTCCACACGCCTCTCTCGCTTCGCGGCGAACGTCGGCTTGGCGTCTTCTTTTCCGCTGCCGCGACAGACGGCCCCCCCCTCTTCGGCCGCGGGCGAGGGGGGGGGGGCCTCAGGAGGAGGAGGAGGAGGCCTTCTCGGAAGGCGGCGGGGCTTCTCAGAAGCCCTCGAGTCCTCTGAGGTCCTCGGGGAAGGCTCAGAGCACTTCTCAGAGGGCCGTAGGACTTCCGCGCCCTCCGAGCAGGCCCGCGCCCTCTCGCTTCCCCGCCGGGCTGGCCGCCGACCTCTCCTCTTACATGGGCCACTCGTGGGCTGCACGGGGCCCCTCCTCTTCCCGCTGCCCTTCCCCTCCCTTGCTGCTGCTTCTGCTTCTCGTTGTCTTCCTGGTCTTGCCCTTACCCGTCCAAGGTAAGCCAGCCAGATTACAGCCGCCCGCGGTTGTGTCGGGGGTCTTCCCTTCGAGGAAGGCCGATGCCATGTTCCACTCATACTGCCCTGCCCGTCCGGCTATGTTTCACGTCTCGACCACTGCCAACATCCTGGAATTTCAGTTTTTTGTTGTGTGCTAGTTCTCCCGCCTCCTGGTTCCCCGCTCCTCCCTCCTTCCTCCTCCTCCTTGGCGCTTTTGCGCCATCATTGTGCCCTGAGGCACGCCAGGTCTGGCCGTATGGCAGCAGTGCGACGGTGTGAAAGGAGACCGCAGCTGCCGTGTCCTCCGTTCCGTGTCGCTGCAATCCTTTCTAGAAGCGTTTGTTTGTTGTTTTTGTTAGGTTGTTTAATTTTTCCTCCAGTGCATTCACCCCCCCAGGTGTTCGTCCAGCAGGGCATGCTGTGGGTTTGTCCTGCCAGAATCTTGAGGACATGCAGTGTTTGAACTCGCTCGACGTCGCCGCTGGCTGAGCTAAGTCTGGTGTTTTCTGTAGGGGGCGTGTCGTTTGGCGACAGTGTTGATCTTCTATTCTTTGTGTGGGCTGCGGGGGTAGTTTCTTGTGGCCTGAAGCAGGCATGCATTATGAAAAAGAGGCATCCGAGCAGTGG